GGTAAGATATAATCTCAATGTTGTTTTGACTTGCTGTTTACACATTCAGTGCAATCCTAATTGAAATTCTCATTTAATTCTTCACAGAGATAGAAAAAAATATCCAAAATGTCCTTTGGAATTATAAAAGACCCAGGATAGGTAAAGAAATTCTGGAAAAAAACAAAACAAAACAAAAAAAAAAACCAATGCTGTAGAGATTGCCAGTCCATATTTCAAGAGGCATTATAATAAAAGCAGTAAAACAATGGCATACAAACAGACTGTAGAGCAATGAAACAAAATAAAAGACCCAATCATAAATTGTGTAACTACAATAGAGCCAACCGTAAGTAGTATAACTACAATAAACCCAACTATAAGCAGTATAAATACAGTTACCTGACATTTGACAAAGATGCCAAAGTCATAGTCTGATGCCAAAGACATAGTCTGAAGAAAAGATAGCATCTTCAATAAATGGTGCTGGGAAGCCTCGATGCCCACATGCAGAGGAAATAAATTAGGCTCATATCACCTTACACCAAAACTAACTGTGAGACCTGAAACTCCGAAACTACTAGAATAAAGCACAGGCAGTACCCTAGACGATGACACAGGTGTGGAAAAGGACTTTCAGAATAGGATTACGTTTGCCTGGGAAACACCCAATCAATAGGACTTCATAAAACTAAAAAGCTTCTCCACAGTTAAGGACACAGTCAAGTGAAGAGGAAGTTCGCAGAGTGGAACAGGGTCTTTGCCAGCTATATACTCGACAAAGGATTAATACCCAGAATACATGAAGAACTCAAAAACCAGAGTAAAAAAAAAACACATTCAAAAAATATGGGCTATAGATTTGAACAGAAATTTCTCAAAGGAAGAAATAAAAATGGCTAAGAAATATCTGAAAAGTGTATTTTTAAAAGTGCAATTCCTTAGCAATTAGGGAAATGCAAATTAAAATATGATATCACTATACCAAAAGAGATATGAATAAGGCCCCCAGGAACAGAATGTGATTTAAACTGATATGAAGAGTTGGCATTTTGAGGCATGGTATTACTGCCTACCTTGCTAAAGCATAACTCTCTAAATTATGAGTAATATAAATAACAATAACTTAATAACTGTCATCAAATTCCATTATTTCTAGTGGAAAAATAGAGATCATAACTTCCAAATGCCTGCTACTATGTTAGTCAATATGGTGTGCTGAATATTAATAACTGGCTGGCAGTGGAAAAATTGTAATGCGTACTGATGCACACAAATTTCAGGGATAACCTGGAACTGGCAGATGGGCTCAGTTCTTGGAATAGTTAGTAGAGAGTGATAACTCAGGGAGTCTGTAAATTTTCTTAAGAGGCATCCTTTGAGGAGAGGCAAATTAAATCCTCAAGAATGTATGAAGGGACTATGGGCAAAGTCACCACAGCCCTCTTATTAGAGATGCCCAAGAGGTGTCACCACTGCAGAGGACAAAGCAATCAAATGTGGAGATGACCCCACTTCTCAGTTTGTACTTGTGGTTGCTCAGAGGGGCTGGCCCTAGTCAGCACCTGACTGTAAACAGTTCACAAAATAAATAGGATGTGTTTCTGTATGGTCTTACACTTGAGCACCTCAGATCATTCTTTCATTAACAGTTGCTGGGTTTTGTTTGTTTGTTTGTTTGTTTGTTTGTTTGTTTGTTTGTTGTTTTTTAGCCGTTGTTTAAAGAATTCAAGATGTGAATTCTTTTTGTGAAGAGAGGGATTTGTCATCCTTCCTTCCTATAATGTCTCCATGGGACAGTGTTCAGAGGCTTGTCAATCAATGTTACAAATTGATGATGGCTATCAATTTACAATACAATCATGTCTAAAAGAAGAAAAAAATCCTTACCCAAATAGCTCAGTGTTCTTAACACTCACATGGGTTTCCCATGACTGTTTTCCAAGCCACTGCTTGTCACATTCTCCTCTCTGGAAAGCTCTACCTCAGACATTACCATCTCTTCACTTTTACGTTTTCAACTTAGTCATGCCTTACAGTCCTCTTTAAGTATCTGAACCTGCTGCTCTATGCTAAGGCCCTGAAAACAATCTCTGGGCCTTTATGGAAGGACTCATTGCTAGAATGAGAAGGGACAAGTGTAGTAGAAGAAGCATTGAGGGTCAATGCACTTGTTTAAAGATCAGTTTGGAAATATGGGCTCAGGTGGTAAATATAGATTGTCATTGAGAGGTCAAGAACCACAGATGGTGTTTGACATCCCCACATAATGGCAGAGGAAATTAATGGAGAAGATAGATCAGGCCTATATAATTCCTGTACTATCGTGGGGTCACTAACTAGAGGGCAGTAAGGGACAAATCTAGACAGCTATATTTTGGGGCAATACAGTATTATTTCAGTTAAAATTCAGGTGCTCCAGTTGAAAAGGAATGCTTTAATAAAGGCATACACTTTTTTCCTCCCCCAAAATCCCACTCTTAGTGCCTGTTGTACTCTAGCTACTTCAATGTTCATGTTCACCTTCCATGCCTACCTCATGTAGATTTGGGTTTGCTGACCCCATGACTAATTGTTGAAATTGGAATGGGAACACTGTTACCACTCAGTCTTTCGTTTTCAACAACAGACTATGAGTGATATGAGAAAAAGGAGAAAACTACATTAAAAATGAATATTATAGGTTGAATTAGATCTTCCAGGCTGAGCTCAAAATACATAAGAAAACTTATGAATCACTACTGAGGTATTGGTGGGTCTGTTGCTTTACACAGCTAGATGTGAGAGACTGTGTCCCCATGAGATACAGTCAGGTGTGTTTTAAAGTGCTATCTCCTTGGGAGAAACAGTGGTACAGGTCTAGGGATGGTGCTGGTCCTCCACAGGTTTCTCTCCAGTTACTCATAAGACAGGAAGAGGCTATAAACAGTGTGTGATGTACATCATGCATTCTGATGTCATTGCTGGATGGGTTTGCAAAGACTATTACTTGCTATGCACTGAAATGCTATCTTGTCCATTAGCTTTACTGGCCAGGTTTTGGGTTGTCCTATAAGATTACTATTTATATGTTAACTATTTGCAAGTTTGTGTAACTATATGGTTTTATCAATTAAAGAGTCATGCTAGGAATAATTGCAGAGGTTATTCTAGATAATATCACCAGGTCTTCATGGCTCAGATATCTCTCAGATATCTTTCCAGATTATAATATGCAGATATGTATTATATCCATGTTACAGTATGATTATAATATGTGCCATGTAAGTCTGATGGAGAGGAGGAAAGGGCCACAGTGTGCCAAATAAGAGTGAAGTCTATGTTTTATGTCATGCCATTCCCACCATGATTTGACCTTCTACCTACTCTCACAGCTGCTTCCCATCCTGACTCCAGCAACATCTTACTGTCAGAGTTCTCCAGGAGAGCTATGCTAGGCCTATGCTCACTCTGGTAGGAATGCTCTGCGTGCCTCCCTTTCCCCTAATCCCGTAAACGGAGGTTTCCACTCTCACAAGCTTCCCTACTTTGCTCACCCCGAGTTGCACATTCCTCATCTCTACCTATCAGTAGAGTATACTCCGAGTCATATTTATTAGTATGGCACCAGATTATACTGACCAATTTATGTCTATAATTCTTAAAATTATGATTCCATTAGGGTAGGGTTGCCCTTTCACTTTTGCTCACCAGAGCCTCGCACATGGAATGTAAAATGGGTGTTTAAGGGTAGAAGCAGCAAGAAGAGGACTTGAGAACCAACACATAGTCATCACCCCCCATGCTCAAGACTCAGTGTCAAGGGTACTATGTCATTTAATCCTCATAAAATATGCAAAGATAACATAATTACCCAAAGCTGTCAAATGGGAGAAATGTGGCTTCGAGAGGAAAAATAGCTTCTCTAGGTCCCATACTTAATAGCTGACAGCAGCACTATTTGAAGCAAAGCTCCTCCGGCTTCAAAATTGTGCTGTCTTCTTCATTACACCATCATCACCTGCCGCCCTGCCCCCAAGGACTCCCCCACAACTTTGTCTGTGGTCTTCAGACAAAGGGTGTGTGAGGACAGTGTTGTGGAGTCTGACTAGATATACAGAGGGTCCTTTTGGGGATTTTTTTTTCTATGTGTGTGAAAAAGAGGAGTGGGGAGAGAATTAGCACCATCAATAGCTATTTTCCTGGGGTGAAGTGCCCATGAAGGAGGCAGTTCCCTGTTCACCCCCATATGCCCTCTGGGTTATTTCCTCCCAGATTTTTCTAACTTGACTTCCTACAGATAGCATTTAGCATTTATAAAACCCACCCGATTCGTTATCTGCTCAATTTCTCCAGATGTTTCACCTCCCACTCCTGTCTTTCTTAATGACTCTAGGGGTTTGATTACAAGCAGGGTAAAAACTGTCAGATTATTCTTGGCTCTTTTCTTTTTCTTCTCTCTTCTTTTTCTTCTTTTTCTTCTTCTTCTTCTTCTTCTTCTTCTTCTTCTTCTTCTTCTTCTTCTTCTTCTTCTTCTTCTTCTTCTTCTTCTTCCTCCCTTCCTTCCTTTAATCCATCTCCAAAACTCTTTATTCTTCTCAGGTTTCTTAGTTCTTTGAGAATTATGTGCTATATATTTTCATTGTATTTATCCTCTTCTCTCACTCCTTCCAAGTCCCTCCTCCTTTCAAGCACATTCAAATGTGTCTACATTTTTTGTGTGTCTACTTTTTTTTTAACCTATAAAGACTAATCTGTGCTGTCCATATATTCTTGAATATATGGCATTCACTGGAATGTGGTCAATCTACCAAGGGCACACCCTTGAAGAAAACTGACTCTCCCTCTCCCAGTTGTGTTCCCCAAAATATTGTGCACCCTAATAAACTTATCTGGGGTCAAAGAACAGAACAGCGACTAGATACAGAGGCTAGAGAATGGTGGCACTCATGCCTTTAATCCTAGCATTTCAGAAGCAGAGATCCCTCTGGATCTCTGTGAGTTCAAGGCCACATTGGAAACAGCCAGGCATGGTGACACACGGCTTTAATCCCAGAGAGTGATGATAGAAGGCAAAATGATATATAAGCATGAGGACCAGGAACTAGAAGCATTTTGCTGGTTAAGCTTTTAGAGTTTGAGCAGCACATTTCAGCTGAGATAATCTTTTAGGTGGCTCATCCCTGGTGATGACTAATTTTCTCTTTATCATCAGTCTTTGACTACCTTCAGTTCTTTGGTCTAAATGTCTAAAATGTCTTTGACTTTTTTCTCCTTCCATAACATCTCTGGTTGTATTGTCACTGTTTAGGTCTTGTTTAGGCAGCCATATTGTTGAGGTATCCTATGTGTAGCTTCTCTCTCTATTCTAGGAAATACAATTTCTCAGCAGAGTTCCTCTTACAATCTTTATGTGCCCCTCTCCTGTGATGCTTCCTGAGCCGTAGGTTCAGGAATTGTGCTGTAGTTATATTCATTGGGTCTGAGCACCCTCCACTCAGTTGTTCTCTGCATTTTGACTAGCTGTGGATTTTTGCAATGGTCTCCATCTTCTGCAAAGAGAAGCTTCCTTGATGAGAGATAAGAGCTAGACTTATCTATGGGTATAAGGATAAGTATTTTGAATGCAGTTAGGAATTATATTAATTTAGTAAAGTGGTAGCAGTCTATTCTCTAAGATCCATGACCTCAACAGCTACTAGTAGTTTGGTACATTTCCCAATACCAGGCATGATTTCCTTTCTGTTGAGCAGACCTGAAGTCCAATTAGACAGATGCTGGTTACATCCAAGACAGGAGAGCCATTATTACACCTTTGGGGATAACTTGCTCTGCATGCCATCATTGTGATTCATAAACATCACAGCAAGTCAGGACTGTGTTGCTTCCCTTCCTCAATAGCTTTCATAGTACCTCCTGCTACTATGGAACCAAGTCCTTAAAAAAGAGTCTTTTATGTATGATCCAGCTTGGATCCTTCAGAATCTCCATCAAAAGTGAATGATGTTAGCAATAGAGATGTATCTTCAAACTCTGGGAGACAACTAAAGACCATAGCAATGGCTTGTATTGCTTTGGGAGTCTTTTGGACTCTCCTGACAAACAAGTTGAAAGGGGGAATTTCTCATATTTAGTATTAGAGTTTTTGTATGTTCTAGTGGGGATAGTTCTTGTGGGGAGCATTGCCAGACCAAGGGGAAATAACTTTATTTAATATGCCCCCCTGCCTGTGCACACGCGCTTGCGTGTGTGCGTGCGTCCGTGCGTGCGTGGTGTGTGTGTGTGTGTGTGTGTGTGTGTGTGTGTGTAATTTTAGATACATACAAATAATATTTCTTATGGCTTTTTTCTTATTTTCCCCTTCACTCTCCCTCTCCTAATGTATTGAAGTCCCTCCTACCTCCCCAGTTAAAAAACCCTCCCATTTTCCCCAAGTCCTCTTCTCTATTACTTGTATCCTGGTAGTCTCCTCTTTAGTGATCCTTTCCCCAATCTAGTAGTCTCTTTTTCATTTTTCTGGTTTTTACAGTTAGGGTAAAAGGGAATCTTTGCCAGCTAAACATATGACAGAGTATTATATCCAGAATCCATAAAGAATTTTAAAAAAAGTCAAGAAAACAAATGACCCAATTAAAAAGTGGGCTATGTGTCTGAGCATATAGTTCTCAAAAGAAAAAATAAAAATGGCTAAAAAATGTTCATCATCCTTAGCAATTAGGGAAATGCAAATCAAAGCAACTTTGAGATTTTTATCTTACCCCAGTCAGAATGGATAAAATCAGCAAAATAATGAACAAAACAAATGCTGGAGGAAAAGGGAAACTTCATTCACTGTTGCAGACCCTCTGAAAATCAGTGCAGAGAATTCTGTAAAAGCTAAAAATATGTCTACCTTCTCACCCAGCTATACCACTCCTTGGCATATGTCCAAGGGATGACATTCTACTCTACAGATACTTGCTCAGTCATGTTTCTTGCTGATCTATTCACAATAGGTAGAAGATTGAAACAAATGAAATGTCCTTCAACTGACTAAAGGAGAATGAAAATGTAGTACATATACATGATGGAATACTGTCTAGCTATGAAAAAAAAATCATTAGATTTGCTGTTAAATGGATGGAACTAGAAAAGAATCTATTGAGTGAAGTAACCCAGATGCAGAAATACAAATGCTACGTGTTCTGTCTCGTCTATTGTTTCTAGCTCCAAATCCTCAGGAGAGAGTACACAACACAGAGATTTTTTAATAGTTGATTAATATTCAGCTGTGTAAACATACCACATTGTTATTATCCATTCATCAGTTGATGGACATGTAGGTTGTTTCCAAAGTTCAATTTTAAATCTTTACCAGTGGTTCAATGTATTTCCTAATTGTGGTTGAATCCCAATGCTGGAGCTGTGCACTGTGTACTATATACTAGAAGACATTTATTTTCCTGCAACTATATTCACCATAAAGGTTGTGCTGTTGATTCTGTATGTAACTTGTGTCCTTCCTCCCTAACATGAACATGAACCTCAGCACAGGAGCTTCAAGGGGAGGCTGATGTGACTGCTTGTAGACTCCATTAGCCTCTAACTCTTTGTTGTGGTGCAGAAGGAATAAAGAGTGTTATCCCTTTGATCATTAGAGAATAGAGAATGAAGGCATATATCATTGTTGATGTGACAGGAATCATGGCCAGCATATTCTCTATGTTCTGCGGTTTAATCAAGAGAATGACACAGAAACATAAAAAGCGAAGTGAGGCTTGGAACTCACAATTATCCCATAAAACCCACCTCATCCCACAGGAAGTCTGCTCACCCTCAGGTGGGACCTATCTGAGTCTTCTCATCCAGCTGGGGCAAGATAAGATAGCTCCTGGACAAATGTTGATTTAGTTTCAACATCTACCCATCTGAATGCATCACTGAAGTGGGCAGCAGAAGGGGCTGCTTTTGCTCAGTGTGGACTCACATCATCACTGTTGTGTGTATTTGGTACAAGGTGTGATTTCTTGATTCATATAAGTAAAAATGGGACTTTGAAGCAAATAGCCACCTTATAGCCTAAAGAGGTTCTCTTTCTTTTTCTTTTGGAACTTACAACTTTGTTATCCTGTCAGGGATTCAGGGTCTGAGAATTACATAATTCTACTATGCAGAATAGCATCACTTAAGTTTCAGAAATAGGTATAAATTGTTCTGTTGAATTTGATATCTTACAAAGCATACTACATCTATTTCTTTTATGCCACTCCAAACGCTTGCAATTGCACAAGTGAAACATAGGGTTGCAATGTATTTAAAATTATTCCCTGGGTTCCCTTGAATATCATCATGATTGTTGCGGACATAGGGTTACTATGGGCTAAGGTACTGTGCCTTCACATTCCAAGAGATTAGTTTCAGGAATATAAATGTCTATTTGGGGACTTAAGGATTAAACCTCTAGTGATTTTTACTGCCCATATACAATACTCTAGGTTGGAGCTACTCTAATAGAACCACTTATTTTATTCTATTTTAAGACTGTAGGCATGGATATAATTATATCATTTTAATCTATAATAAACTATTAATGATTTTGATATGTAGTGGCACACAGATATGAATATATACTATAACAATATACATCTTGTTTATTAGTTTTATAAGACTCAAAGTGTCCTTTTAATAATGAAGGTTTGGTAGATACTATATATATTACATGTTATGAAAGCTTTTAAAATTAAAAAAAAAAGATGTTTTCCAGCAAAGGGTTATAATGAAAGCTTTCTCATGACTGATTCCCTGTACATAAGACAGTTTTAGGCTCATGTTTTAAAATATGCTAGAGTGCTTTGGCAGACAAGCCGTGTTTGTCAAAAAGGTATTTTTTATGTCAACAATGCCTCATAGGAGGATAGGGTTATTTTATACATTAATTTTTAATCCAAAATACTCAAATCCAAATATTGATATACTTAATTGAGTTTTGCTGTGTCTGTTTATTTGGACAGAATGCTGTCAGAGTAGATGACACCAGATAAAACTTCATCCAGGGCCACATTGCTACTTCTGCTTGCTAGACTATTCGTATGTAGTAAGCTAAAACGCATAGGTCTGGTGATGAATCTTAATATCAGATGGTACCCCCACTGTTTTAGTAGGAAGATTTTTAAAATGCATATATTATTCTGCTAAGGCTGCCGTAACAAACTGTCATGGACTAGGTGATTTGAACAGCAGCAATGAGTTGTGCCTCATTTATAGAATCTGGATTCCATTGAATCTCTCTCTTTAGCCGTGGCTGATTATCTCCTCTCTGTATCTCCACACAATCTTACTTTTCAATACATATATATGCCCAGACTTTCACGGGCACTAGTCATGTTTGCAAGGATTACCCTAAATATCTCACTGTTTAATTATCTGTTTAAGATTGTCTCTCCAAGTACCATCCCATTTAATGGAAGGTATTAGAAATGAGTGATTCAGTGTATCTATTGCTGGGAACCTAGCAGCCCACAACAATATTCTTCATGTTCCCATTTATACAGGGATATATTTTTATTCAAAATTATCTGCACATTATTCAAATACCCAAGTTATTAATTACTCTGGCCCAGAAAAGGCTTGGTCCCACTTACTTGATTCATGAATTTAGTCACAATAAACATGGCTATATGTCTTTTTTTTTTTTCCGAGACAGGGTTTCTCTGTGTAGCTTTGCGCCTTTCCTGGAGCTCACTTGGTAGCCCAGGCTGGCCTCGAACTCACAGAGATCCGCCTGCCTCTGCCTCCCGAGTGCTGGGATTAAAGGTGTGCGCCACCACCGCCCGGCTTGGCTATATGTCTTTTAAGGGCAGATATTAGATGCCAGTCTCCCCACTGGGAATGCTACCTTCTGATGTCCCCTTGTACTAAATGCAAGATCTTCTACAATCCCTACAGACCATTAGTGAATGTTACAGAGCAGGATTGCAAGCAGCCAAATAAGAATGGAATTGGTTAAATAAAGCACATGACTTGGTCCCAGTGGGAAGTTCAGGGTACTTCTTAATCAATCCTTGAAATTTCCTTTAATTCCATGAGGACATATTGTTAACATCTTTCCCATATGCAACAGAAGCAAGTCTTGTTTGGTTTCACTGACAAAAACAAGAACCAATGACAACAACAACAGAAAACTCAA